CAATTGCCGTAGTTTGGGTTAAAGAAAATGTCTAACAGCTATGCATCTATGTTTAAATATACCCTCTAGACAAATGCATTATCAACCGTTAACAGATGTATAAACAAGTTGTAAATAACTTTTGTAAACTTGTCGGATGCATAAATATAGATGTGAACCGTGTGGATACAACAATTTCCAACTATTGACGAATGCAATAGACAAAACATAAAATTATCTTAATGTAATTTCTTAATTGATTTATTGTCAAAAAGTAAAAAAGACAGTCGTTTTACAAGAAATGTGTTAAGATAGATAATTTATGAGAAGGAGCGGAAATGGAAAGGATAATCAGCTTGTGAAAAAATTGAAAGTAATATATTTGATCCGGTATTGCATCCACGAATATATTTGCAATGTCCAAGTAGACGGTCATACCAAGGATTGACGTGGGTATATGAATAGTGTTACCTGGATTGTTCCCACCTTGCTATAAAACTAATGCATAGAAGATGTGTTCGTTTCTTTGTGTGGGATGTATAAAAACTTGGCATTTGATCGGAATGGGGACATTGAATGACACGCCAGATGAACGGAAAATGTCAACCTCTCTGCTATCCTAGATTCCTGGCTCACTTGACAGGAAACTTGAAGCTGCGATTGGGCCAAGATGTCAGGTTAACTCTCTGCAATTTCAAAACTAAATGCAAACACTCATTGAAGGGTCTGTATGTGACCTGTCGAAAGAAAACATGTCAAACTTAATTAAACATCACTTCTTTATCCAGTTCGTGACAGGCAAACTATTTTGCTGTAATCCCGGTCGATCCACTGTGTAAGACATATCAATTGTAAATATCTGTAAAGGTGTTATCGCTTTGAAAAGGCATAACATTCTTGCCAATGTATGTAAAGCTAATAAAAAAAAAGAATACACAACGTTATCCTATAAGTCTATATACTTTTAAATTCTTTAAGGTAGGCTGCGAATGGTTGCATTGTTTTCCAATCATCTGATCATAGCGTAAACTTCAAAACTTATAATGGCTAGTTTTGAGGTTGAAGCATTTTCACCTATGTGGTTATATTTTCAGGGTACGAAGTGTGATTCAATTTCCGTCACTTTGGCAACTCAGAAACCACTGTGGTGTGATATTTCAACGCGGAAATAAATCCCATATTTTAAGTGTCTATATATTCAGTCCTTTACAGCAGAGAGACGGAAGATACCAAACGGATATTCAAACTCGTAAGTCGAAAACGAACTAACAACGCCATGGCATAAAACGAAAAACGACGAAAAGAAAAACAACAATCTACAAAATACGACATAGAAAATTAAAGACTGAGAAACACGAACTCAACAGAAACCGGGGTGATCTCAGATTTCTCGAAGGATATGCAGATCCTCCTCCACATGTGGCACCCGTCGTCTTGCTCATGGGAGTACAAACCCGGTAATAAGTCTAATTCGGAAGTCTCTTTTGAGGAAAAGAGGATTGTGGTTACGACAACTTGAAAATATTCGTCGTCATCTGTGAAGCAGATATTCCATAACGGTCAACCACATCGTGATGTAATCTGTAAAAATTTGGAAAGGATGACTTTAACTTCACCACTTGGAACTTTTGGGTTAATAGCTTCCTTTTAAGCAGCAACAACCTTTCAATTTAATCATGATAGGGATTGCAAGCTCTGGAATATCGTATCAACCGGGAGATATACACGCTATATGCAGGCGCTGTGTGAATGTTGCTACATGGGAATGAAAAGTTCACAGTTGGGAAGCTTAATTTAACTCCTTTGTATATTTTAATAACAACGTAGTTTTTACATCTTTATTCTATGGTATCCTGCATTTCAAAAAGCACAAATTATTAAGCTCAGTCAAATATTTGAAATTTCACAATGTCCAATATTATTGCACAGATATTTTGGTGAAACTAATATAGTTGTCTTCATCTGTTCATAATTATGAGATATGGTCACATTTTGTTTTTAAATTGAGGTCAAAGGTCATCCTTACAAACGTTCGAAATTTTTGGAGGATTTCAAATTTGACATTTGTTTTCGTTTTGTTACTTCTACCTTAGTACAAACAATTCTGTTTTGGCTTTAGTAATGTTTGATTTTATAAAAAATCTTAATCATAGATATTTTTCTCCAAAAATATCCTAAAACGACATTTTTATAAACAAAAATTAAAAAATCCAGTTTTCAACCCATAAAATGTTTATATCACCTTAACCTTATGAATTATTTTAATTTCACGTAAAAATCAAGTGTCATGAAAGACAATACTTCAAAATTAGTTTTTAAACTAGCATATTGGGTGAGGGATCAAGACAGCAGCAATAGAACTCTACAGTCAAATATGACCTCATATTGAATTTGCGGATACTTTTGTTTTTTTATAGACGACCCGTTGCTTCTGTTTTTTTTCCACCGATTATTGCTGCTTCCATAGTATTATCTACTGGTGTGTATTTTACTCTTGATTATGTCTATAACAAGATCGGTTTTACTCCCATAACCCCCCTGTTTCCCTTGCAAAGTACAAAAAACTTCAAAAGATACTCAAGCCTGATCTCTAGCATATTCATTTCCATCAACCATCATGACGTGTATTAATTATATTTCCACACATTTCACTTGCCTGGCATGGACACAGGTCTGTACATGAAAGGTTCTGCTAAAAGCAAAGACATTTTTCTGAGCACACAGATTTTCAAATTATATTACAAGTATAGACAAGATCTTGAAGGAAGTCCAAAGACATTTGACCTCGAAAAATACCGGCTTCAAACCATCATTATCAATCCATTCAAATTTTTACGAAGATCTTAGAGATGGTTTAGGAAGGTGTGATGTCATCCATATACTTGTCTGTAAAGATGGTCGGGGCAAATGTTGCCTAAATATTGATTTACAAGGGGGAAGCTTTGCCAGAGACGCATCTTTAGTAGTCGCAGGTCTTACACTTAATTTATTGAGGTCACTATATACGCTTTTTAATTTACTCTTTGATCATAAAGCAAAGCGAAGAGCTTTTTTGCAACTGAAAGAGATGCATCAACATCACAGTTTGACAGGTTAACTAAATCGGTAACATCACTACACACCTGTTTGAAAATAGTTTTTTTACCTATACCAAACATTTTCGATGTGGAGTCACATCTTGAAATTGCATGCACGGCAGGCAAGCATTGACTGAAGATGGAATTCAAAGAATTGCATAGTTCATGTATAGGTATAAGACGTCTTGCATCCTTGGTGCTTGTTACAGTTCCTGTTTCAAACCAAAGTTCTTCTGTGTTTTTCAGGGAAGAAAAAAAGTGGACAAAAAGAACTAAAACATTCGTGTCAGTAATTTCACTATGATCCTTCATTTACAGCCACCACTTCCAAACTGTCTATCGGCATATACGGTGTGCAAAATCATACGCTTATCAGCTTTCTCATGCGTACTTGAAAAGGCGGACAGTTTTAGCACAAATCTGTTTTACAATTTTACAGTTTTTCAATGAACAAAACCTCGCTGAAATGCTAGTTCTACATCTAGTGGTAAATCTAGCATATCTAGCAGGTAGACAGATTGCCATCTTGAGTAGTAGATTCTATTTGTAAAATATATATTATAGGATAAAGGGCAACATGGCAGCAGTGGAGCTTTTTTTATCTAACGTTCTAAAAGAAAATAACTAAATTGCTTGCAAAAATATGTCCAAGAACTTAAATGTCGGAGATTTTTCACAACCCCATCTCCAGAACTCTTCATTCAAAGGCAAAATGTGTGTATAAAAAAAAAACACCTTCACATCAGCAAAATGTTTGGCATCGGCAGCTGTTTGAAACAATGTCATGAACGAGAAAAAAGAGTCTTTGTATTTTCTGGAAGTTTAATTTGATATTATACAATAAGACTTGTCCGACAAAGTGATATTTGACGGATTAAAGCAACAACAAAAAATTGAAATATAAACATATACAAACAAACTTAGTACATATATAATGCACTAAATTGAAAATATCTGTATATAATAGCGATAAATGTAGTAATTTCATATATCAGTTGAATGCAAATTATTAACCGTAAGGTTTGATAATACACAAAAGGTGTGACAAAAGGGAAGTGATTAAGTTCCGTGATGAAATAACAGTTTTTTATTTTAGTCTTTTTTCGTTGATATCTTAGAACTTTTAGATATTTACGCTCTGAAATGTTTATCGGTAACAAGTTTTATGAAGTTCTATATGTTTAAAACATTTTTAGGTAGTAATGAATACTACTATGAGGGAGAAATTCAAGTTTGTGTTTGAATTTGTAATAAACATTACTTCACTTTTAAACAGTCAGAATTTTGCCAATGTTATAGATTAGATTTGAATTTGATTTTTGGTGTTTTAGCGCCACTTTTAAGCACCGCTTTTGGTCTATTTCGTGGCGGCCAGTTTTCATTGGAGGAGGAAGCCGGAGTGCCCGGAGAAAACCACCGACCTTCGATAGGAAAACTGACAATCCTAGTCAATTGAGATTGGAGTCGAGTGCACCCGCACGAGCGGGGTTCGAACTCAGTAACTACTTAGACCACTCGACCACCGAGGCCCCTATATAGATAATATGAAAATAAAATACTGAATAAAATATTTTTATTTATGATAAAAGTTAGAAAAAAAATATATTGATTAAATGTAGGCAAATATATTAAAATTTTCATTTTGAAAGAGGGGGGTTGCAATCTTTCCAATATATTCTAGCCATTAAAAAGATTTTTAGAAAAATATGACCATACGAAATTCTTACGACAGAATGGAAAATGAAGTAGACATATTTGTCTTTAAGTTAAGACTTTTTCGTGTTATTTTGGGGAGATTAAACTCGAAATTACGACGACTTTTTACACTTCTGTCACCGCACTATTAATCAAATGTAACATAACAAGGCGGCGTTAACTAACTTATATATTATGACTCAAATAAAAAGAGACTGTTTTTATTAGATTTATTACAATGTCGGTTAAAAAAATACAGGCCCTCACAGTATAAAACATCCAGATTGACTTCAGCTTAAACATAAATTGAACAAAGCTCTTGTGATTCGTTCAAAGCAGGGTAAGTTTTTTTATCCATATTTTCTAGGTAATTTAAGTACTTCAAATTGTGATATAAGATTTAAAATGTTTTAATTATAAATTATCAAAATCTTCACTAAAAGTACAGCATAACATCTTAAACCTATGAACAGACTCGATCTTAGTCTATTCTTGAAAGAAGTAATTTCAACAATAAAACTTTGACAAGACGAACTTTTCCAAAAATTCGATATTTACCCAAACTATACCTTACAGAAAGGATATTTTTAGATAGTTATGCAATACATAAAAATTATTTATGATCTTACATATTATGCGTTGAACTATTTTTATTCATGAAGAGATGGAATCCTTCTAAACTGTGTAACAAAAATATTGGATTATTACAATACAGATAATAAGAAGAGACAGAAAAAGTAAAAAAAAATATGTTTATTTTTTCTTTACGTTTCATGTAATCGATAATGGGTATGTTTTCATTGTTTCCTTTTTTTTTTAGTATATCCTTTCTTCGTCATTGGTTAAATCCCCGAAACGTTTGATTCATGATCCTTGTTTTTGTTGACGAAACGCGGGTCTAGATTACTTTGTTATAAGCCTGCATTTTATAATGTTTCGTATAAACAAGTTTTTTAAATATATCATAATTATGTCCTGTTGCTTGAACCCCGCACGTGGCAGGTGCGCTCGACTCAAATCGTAACGAAATAACTTATAGTGATGAAAGTAGCGTTTAACACCAATGAATCATTCACCAAATCCTGTTGCTGATAAAATATTCCAAATGTCATATCATGACTGATGAAAATAAAAGGATATGGTATAATTCCGGATATGAGAACTATCCACTAGAATCCAAATGCCGTAGATGTTAACAAATGTAGGTCACCGAACGACCTGCAACAGTGAATGGTGATCACCGAACATATTAAATACCAATTTTGATAATTATTACTAGCATTATGAAGATAAAGGTGTACTGTACATGCAACGTTTTGTCGATTTTGAAGGATATGATCTGTTTTTTCATTTCCTGCTGAAAATCGTATCATAACTACGACATTTGCTTCGACTACGTGTATTTGAAAATATTTGGGTTAATATTCCCATTACAAGACGAGGGTTTGAAATTTTATAAAGAATAATTATGACCAATTATAAGTGTTTTAATGGATTTCTCTGTATATAATGTGTCTTGGTATAAATAGCTAAAGGAAATTGAACAATTACCTAGGGGCGATTTCAATGATATTTGGTCATTGACTGATACAAAAAACAAAACTAAATCCTCCAAAAAATTTGATAAACCAGTAACAAGTTTGAAAGGGCTGATAAAATCATCCAAATTAATAGATATTTGGAGAATCAAAAATAAAAACACAAGACAATTTACCTGGTGTAGAAAAGATAGATCAGAAGCCACAAGGATTGATTATTTCTTTATATCAAAAGAAGTACAAAAAAATTGTAAAAGTTGTGACATTAGACCTATAATCCAAAAACTAACTGATCATAATGCGGTATCATTAAAAATTAATACTGACAGAGGAAATAAGGGACGAGGCTATTGGAAATTAAATTCAAGTGTTTTAAATAATGAAGGTTACACAATTTTAATAAAAAAGTTGATATCTAAATATGAAAAAGATTCATTCAACTGCAATGATCTGGGGATACTATGGGATAACTTGAAAATAGAAGTAAGGGATGCAAGTTTAGACTACTGTAAAATTAAAGCTAAATTAAAAAAGGATGAAATTAATATTCTAGAAAAACAACTGAATAATCTTAATAATGAAATAGATAATGGTATTGATAAAAGTCAAAACTTAAAAATAGAAATTGAGAAGGTTGAAAATAAGTTAGAGGGTTTGTATAAAGATAAAATTAAAGGGCAAAAAATTAGGTCAAGGGTAAAATGGTTTGAAGAAGGGGAAAAAAATAGTGCATACTTCTTGGGACTAGAAAAAAGTCGTCAAACAAAAAAGATCATAACTGAATTATATGATGAAAATAGATCTACGACAACTGACCAAGATAAAATTCTAAATTTACAAGTGAAATACTACAAAAAGCTTTACGAGTCAACTAATCCTAATGATAATGATGTTAACATGTATATTAAAGAAACAGAAATACCAAAAAAACTAAAAGACTCGGATAGTATTCAATGTGAAGGGAATGTAACAGAAACTGAATGTACAGATGCAATATTTAAAATGAAATTAAATAAATCCCCTGGTCTGGATGGGCTGACAGTAGAATTTTATAGACAATTTTGGGGTAGTCTAAAGAATATTATGGTCAAGGTTTTCAATAATAATTTTGAAAAAAAAGAATTAACAAATTCTCAAAATAATTACCGTCCTATAACATTATTGAATATTGATACGAAATTACTAGCTTATGTGTTGGCACAGAGACTGAAAAATGTTCTTCCTTCTATAATTAGTCTAAATCAAACTGGATATGTCAAAAATAGATACATAGGTTTTAATATTAGACAAATACAAGACATTATAGATTACTCTGAAAAATTTAATATAGAAGGAGCAATACTTTTTTTGGATTTTAGTAAAGCTTTTGACTCTTTGGAATTGACATTTATGACAGAAACGCTAAAAAAGTTTGGATTTAAAAATGGCTTTATCAGATGGGTGGAAACTATGTATAATGGCATTAAAGGCTGTATTTCAAATAATGGGTGGGTTTCAGGTCCGTTTAAAATATATCGTGGTATACGACAAGGGTGTCTGATTTCTGCTCTTCTTTTTGTCATAACAGTAGAATTAATGGCAATAAGGCTAAGAAGTAATAAAGATTTTAAAGGAATAACAATAAAATTAGATGGAAAATCATGTAATTTAAAAATTTGTCAATTAGCTGATGACACAACTCTTTTTTTTCAGTCACGAAAAGAAATAAGTCTGGCTCTTAGTATAATTGAAACATTTGGCAGCTTTTCAGGATTAAAACTAAATAGAAATAAAACAGAGGGGATATGGTTAGGAAAATTAAAAAGTTCAAAAGATAAATATGAAAATATAAATTGGACAAATAAACCAATCAAAAGCTTAGGTATTTACTTTGGTTATGACAGAAAAGAATGTGACACGCTGAATATGGAAAAAGTCATGGATAAAATAGCGAAACTTGTAGATAGATGGTCAAAACGAAGAATAACCCAATTGGGAAAAATATTAATCGTAAAAGCTCTTTTGCTACCAAATATAACTTACATTGCAACTAATAGTATCATAAGTAAAGATAAACTACAAAATATTAATAATTTAATATATAAATTTATTTGGAATGGAGGAAAAGATAAAATAAAAAGGTCAATAATTACTAAAAAATTTTCAGAGGGGGGTTTAAATATGATTGATATCGAGTCTTATATAAAATCAATACATATAAAATGGATTATAAAAATAATACAATCAGGGAATGCAAATTGGGCTGTATTACCAAAGCTATACCTCAATAAATTTGGCAAAAACTTACCTATTTTCAAGATAAATTTGAATAAAATAAAAATGCTAGATAAAAAAATATGGAACGAAACACCAATTTTCTATCAAGAGATGATAAAAACATGGATAAATGTTAACAAATGTAACAATATTAATCATGATCAAATTGAGAATTATTTAGATATTAGAAAACAAATAATATGGGAAAATAGATTTATAAAATTTCAAGGAAAATGTTTGTTCTTTGATAACTGGATTGACAGCGATATATTATATATTAATGACATAATCGATAAAAGGGGGAAGATATCAGAAAAAAAAATTATTTCAAAATTGAAAAATAAAAGTAATTGGATTGCAGAAATCTTAAAAATTAAAAATTCCATACCAAAACGATGGGTCAACATATTAAAATCAGAAGAATCATTCAAAACTAAGGTTCATATTAACCGAACTAGAATCAAATTTCGAGACAATACTGATATCCTTACTATCAATAATAAAGACATATATAAAATAGTGCTAGGTCAAGTAATAACAGAAACGCCAATTGGATTTGCTAAATGGGAAAGACTCTTTGGTAATGGAAGTCTCAAAAATGAATTTAAAGACTCTATTAAATTCACTTTTGAGTATCTAAAAGATAATAAAATAAAAATGTTCAGATGGAAATTAATGCATTTTATTTTACCAAATGAACAGCTGCTTTTCCAGTGGAAAATTGCACAAAATGACCTATGTACTTATTGCAATGAACTAGATAACTATAACCATTTCTTCATTACATGTCAATATCATAAAATATTTTGGAAATCAATGAAAGATTTACTCAAAAGAGTTGGCATAGAAGAACATGTTATAAGTCTCCGTTCTCTTGTCATAGGATACAAAATTAATGATAAAGCTTACTTTGCACTTAATCATTTGCTTAGTTTAATGTTCTTTTCAGTCTATAAGGCACACTATGTTTCGAATAAAAAATCTAAATGGGTAGATACAATGAAAATATTTAAATATGAAATAAATAATAAAGTAGAATTATATAGTTTGGTAAACATGAAGATAAACTGTTTATTAACAAAAGTGTATAACATTTTGAGAAAAAACTAAGGTAATGTTATAGAAATGTGAAAATATACATGTAGCATAAAGTATTTTGTAATATCAATATGCTGTCAATGTGCTTATAAATGCACCTGATACCTTAAATGTTAAGGTATACAAGTACTTATTATCTACTTATAATATATATATGAAAAGATCTGTACTTGGTGTGTGTGTGTGTGTGTTGGTGTGTGTGTTTACATTGTACAAGTATGTATATATGGGTGTGGATACTTTATTTGCTTCAAAATAATTGGCTAAGAAATAAAGAAAAAGGGGTAAAAATAAAGAACAATATAACTAATACCATGTTACTGGGCAGATATAGTAACTAAGTGTACAGAATTTGATGTTATTCTTGAAAATTTGAGGCAATTAATATTTTATAGCCTATCTGCATATAATTTCAAATGTGATGCTTAAAATGTATAAAACATGCAACTATGAAGGAGTTTTGTGTGTGTATCTTGGATGTTTGAATCTGTCTGTGTGTGTGTGTAGTACGAATATGACTTCAGAAAATTCAAGTATGTGTATGTTTACGAAATAGCTGATAGGTATTTTAAGGTCACGACACGGGATCATGTTCAATTGTTCATAACGTTATGTAGGTCAAATAAATAAAACATTTATTTCAAATCATTTGATTTATAACAGATAAAAACATATAATTAAAACATCTCACCTTTTCGTATTTTTATTCCAAATTACAAAACATTGCAGAATTGTGTAAATCCCAACTTGAAGCACAAAAAACGTGCGAGGTCATCGACCAGTGACCGCATTTAGTTTCTGGAACATTTAAGATAGTATACAAAAACTCATTCCGAAATAAATAGTGATAAATTCCGTAATATATTGACGAACTTTTGTGATAACGTGTGTAATGTTACATGAATATATAGTATTTTATATAGAAAAAAATAAACATATTTTGTAGTAGACTATTTAAAACAGCTATTTGTAATAGCAATTTATTTATTTAGATATTGATAGAATTTTTTTGTTTTGTTAATTCTACTGAATATTCTCCCTGGATATTCGGTGGCACTATTAACAGGGATACTTGATGGAATGCTGTACATCAAGTGTTATTGTTAACAGCAAGTTGTGCAATAAAGTATCAATTTGAGTGTTAAAAAAAAACAAAAAAAAACAATTACCTATTGCCTATCTTTAACCTTGTATGTTCTTTTTTCTCCTGGATATTGTTTCCTGTAAGTTACCGATTACTCTAATACTGCCTTGAAACTATTTTGAGTGTCTCGGTGTCTTTTGGGAGTTTCCTTGTTTTTAACAGTTGTTTATGGAATATCATGAATATAATATTTTTTTACGGTAGATTTAAAAATTAATTAGGTCTTTCCACTTTTCTGTTTTCTTTGAACAATGGTTTTTATTTTTTTTATTTTTTTTTTCGCCTATTTTTTTTCTCGCGAGGTATTGTTGTTTCAAAAGATGAAAGATGTCGCTTAGATATTTGGTAAATAATATCGAACAGTTTATACGCTTTTAACTGACACTGTTTAACGCAACACTTTACTTTGTATGAGTTATCACCTCAACCACTGTTTTTCTTGTGCGCACTACTCCTTCGCAACCGAAAAAGGTTACGACAAATTTACTTTACCAAATTGCTTGTTATATCTTCAGGATGTTTAGAATAATTTTGACCGAAGCTATCTGGAAACTCCATATGAGATTTATTTCCCCTTATGCATTTTTTATAAATAATATGCTTTTGTAACTGGTAAACCATAAGTGATAGACACCTATGGTCTTTTGATTTGAGCTCCTTGGTCCAAAACAAAAAGGAAAATTAGGACAAGATCAAAGGTCAAAGTTATGTTCTAATTTTTGATTTTGGATTATTATCACTTCTTTTCAAAAACCGTATAAAATATCGACAACATATTTTCACTAAATTGTTATTTGCGATATGTCTAACACATTCATTTTGGTTCAAATGATACGTTGACATTAAATTGGAGTTTTCTCCCCTCTTATATTGAAAATTTCTCGTATGGTGATATAACTCATTAACCATATATAATAAAGACCTAAGGTCTTTTGATTTGATGTCCTTGGTTTATGACCTTGAAAGTGAGGTCAAGGTCATAGGTAAATTTGACGTTCTAGATTTTGACCTTTGTTTTAACTTCATATGTATACATGATAAAACTATGGGACTTTTTGCATTAAGTTGCAAGCCATATGACCTTGAAAAAGCAAACCGAAAATGACCTTGTGTAAACCGGAAGTAGCTATTTTTTTTTAGAATCAGCATACAGTAAGCTATCAATTGACATTGGAAATGACATTTTAAACTGGATTTTAATATTTTTGTATCTAAATATATCGTTTTGGTGGAAAGACTTTCAATTGTTCTTTGAACAATTGTTTTTTTTTTTTTTTTTATTCTTCCGCCAAATCTTATTCTTGCGTTAAATTCTTGTTTCACAATATGTCGCTTAGATATTTCTTATTTTGTATCGTACAGTGTATGCTCTTTTAAATTTCACCCTGCTAAGCCGAACAATTGTCTTTGTAAGAGTTATCTCTCTATCACTGTATATCTTGTGTGTGCATCTCCTTCGTAACAAAAAAAGATATCGACAAAATTCTTTTTCTAAATTATTCGTTAAATTCTCATACAGCTTTCGTCAATTTGGAGTGAAGCAATCCGGTGACATTTGACAGGAGTTATCTAGCCGTCACTGTTTAGTATATCGGTATGTCAGTGTAACTCATTAACCGTAAGCCAGAAAAGACCTAAGGACTTTTGATTTGAGATCCTTGAGTCATAACTTGAAAAATCTAGGTCAAGGTCAAAGGTCAAGGTCATATTCCAAATTTTGCCCTTTGGTAGTGTGTGTATCTCCTCTCAAACTATGAAAGCTAGATACAAAAAGAACTGATGCAAAATGTTTGGGTTGTTGAGAGGAAGAGATGGTATCTTTGGTCAAAGCTATCTGATGATATCTAATAGAAGCTATTGACCCTAAAATGTTAAAATTTAAGGTAAATCGAATATAACTTCATTCTGGTACATGATAAAGCCATAGTGTCTTTTGCAAAGGGTTGAGTGTGAAAAGTATATAGATTCTATGTTTTTTTAATCAGTATGAAGAAAGCTATGATTGGACGCTATAAATAACTTTGGGTTAACCGGAAGTAATTTCTAATGAATAATTTAGAAATGTAATGTGGAAAGACTTTCAACTACAATACCCTTCCCTTTTCACGAATGTGACTTACCGAATTAGACTATTTACCGGATTTGTAATAACATAAGCAACACGACGGGTGCCATATCTGGAGCAGGATCTGCTTACCCTTCCGGAGCACCTGAGATCACCCCCAGTTTTTGGTGTGGTTCGTGTTGCTTAGTCTTAAGTTTTCTATGTTGTGTCATCTGTACTATTATTTGTCTGTTTGTCTTTTTATTTTTGGCCATGGCGTTGTCAGTTTGTTTTCGATCTATGAGTTTGACTGTCTCTCTGGTATCTTTCGTCCCACTTCAATTGTTTATTAAACAATTGGTTTTTAATTATTATTATTATTATTTCTTCTACCGCCAAACCCTTTTCTTGCAGTTTAAAGTAAGTTTTGTAAGATGTCGCTTAGATATTTTGGATATTATATCGAACAGTTATCTCCTCAAACACTGTTTTTCATGTGAGTGTATCTCCTCTGAAACCAAAAAAAAGAAAAGGACAAATTTCTTTATCCTATTTGTTCGTTACATCTTTAGAAATATTTGGCTGAATTGGATCAAAGTGATTCGATGAATCATAAAGAGGTTATCTACCTTTACCAAATAGATTTGTCATTATGTTTTTGTAACTCATAAACCGTTAGCCGTATGAACCTAGATTCTTTTTATTTGATATACTTGGCCCTTACTAAGAAAATAAGGTCAAGGTCAAAGGTCAAGGTCATGTTCTCAATTTTGACATTTGCTTATTTTTGCATTTTCTCTGACACATTTTAAGATATATACGAAAAAAACTAGTGCAAAATGTTTGCTTTATTGTTATCAAGATATGCTATATTAAGACTGAAACAATGCAATGTCATCTTATAGGAGTTATTGTCCATGAAATGTTTTATTTTAGGGTAAATTGATTATTACTTCAAATTGGTACATGATAAAGCCATAAGATCTATCTTTTGATAATAGGTGACATATGACATTGAAAAATGTCAACCGCACGTGACCTTGAGTGAACCGGAAGTAGTCATTTTTTCATGTAAAAGTACATAGAAACCATATATTTTTTGAATGGGCATACATTAACCTATAATTTGAGACCGGAAGTGAAATTTTATAAACCGGAAGTAGCATAATATCTTCCTTATAACAGGCATAAGTATATACAAACTATATATTTTTGAAATCAGTGTAAATATGAGACCGGAAGTGATATTTTCTAAACCTGAAGTAGCCAATTATCTCCCTTTTTACAGGCAAACGTATATATAAACCATATATTTTTGGAATCAGCGTATATAAAGATACCATATGAGACCGGAAGTGACATTTTCTTAACCGGAAGTTGGCAATTATCTCTCATATTTCAGGCAAAAGTATATAGAAACCATATATTTATTGAATCAGTAATAAGAAACCTATGATTGGACGCCAATAGTAACTTTGAGTAAACCAGGAGTAGCTTTTTATTAAATATTTAGAAAATTGATGTGGAAAGACCTTCAATTGTTCTTTGAACAATTGGTTTTTAATTTATATTTATCTTCTTTCCTAGAATATGCAATCGTCGTCGATACTTTGTTTGCTTCTTATTTTCTCGTGTGAGTATTCTTTTATTTTAATTTCCAATATTATCATGTGATCATTCTATTTTATGTATTTCTAATATTTTCATGTGAGTATCATAATTTCGAACATCCATATCATGACATCTATACATATAAAATATAAGTCTATAATCAAAGATATCATTTTATAAAAGAAAAGAAAAATGGTTGAAAAATATAGGTAACATTAAAACTGTTATAATAAATGTTACTTTTTAATTGTATTAATAAAACAGTTTTATGCAAATTATTCCAAAAGACTCATGTACAAGTGTTTATAATTGCATATGAAACAAATAATTTACATCTCATATATCTGTTTTGGAAATTTGCACACCCACAAGATTGACGCATGTGCATCAATTTAACGGAAAAAAACGGAACTTCATCGCATGATATTTTTTTTGTTTCTAAAAAAAAAAATCCAAATTGAAGAAATTTTGATACTGTTTTTATTTATGTTTCATAAATGACGATGGATATGTTTTAATTAAAAACAATTAGATCATCATTTCCTCGAATATGATTATCACTGAATGATTACACGAGCAACACAATGCGTGCCATATTTGGAGCATTTCTGTTTACTTTTCTGGTGTATTTGAGATCACCTCCGGTTTTTAGAGGGCTTCATATAAACTCATCATATATACCAGGATAAAAGTTTTGTACGTCAGGCGCACGTTTCGTCTACAAAGTACACATCAATGACGCTCGAATCAACAAAATTAGTAAAAATATATAATAAAGTACGAAGTTGAAGAGCAGTGAGGACCCAAAATTTCAAAAAGGTTTTGCGAAATACAGCTACCGTACGGTTATCTATTCCTGGTGTAGAAAATCCTTTTGATAGAGAAAATATCCTTATCCTTATAAGAATTAATGCCCATAAATGAACATTTTGGCCAATTTTGGCCAATTTTTGCATTCTTGTAGACTACAACAGTAGATTAATAAAAAATACAAAACAGCAAAAATGGTCAAGAAAATGAGCTATACTTTTAGCAAGATGGCAGAAAGTGTCGGACGAATCCTGATAGGAGTTACACATGTATAGCCCTTTATTAATAATTATTACCCATTTATTGCATATATAACAAAAATATAGAATATGAAGAAGAACTATAAAACTGATCAGCAAGGCAAGATCTACAAATATATTTAATGGCCCAACCTGTCAGTGGAATCATTAAAGGAGTTACTATTCTTTAATGATAAACATTACCCAAATTGTGTATATAATGCAAACACTATTGTAGAACTGATACAGAAAAACTGTTCCCATCAAAATTAATAAGCAAGACAAGGTAAAAAACGAATCAACATTGTCGAAATTATCAGTCGACTACATTTACATGATATAGGAGTTATTGTTCTTAAAATCTGTGTTTGCTTTTCTATGTATTTTCTCTGCAAAACAGTAGAGGATAAAGAAAAACTCAAAACATAAAAAAATGATCAACAAGACAAGCATGATAAGATCTACAAATACATTTAGGTCAACGAAACGGAAATTTAATTGACGATTTTTTATCTATATTTTGAATGTGGGCTAACATTATAGTAGAAAGAAGAGAGAAACTGAAAACCGATTAAATGATCAGTAACGAAAAATAAAAAAAAAGATGAAAACTTAGTCATGAATTGTATTCTAGTCTTTAATTTTAGCTAACTATTAAAAATGCACCAGATCAAGCAAGATGAGCGACATAGGCTCTTTAGAGCCTTTAGCGTTGCCAATGTTCTCTTCTCAGATGATTGTCGTTAAACTTTTGGCAGAAACCACGTTATTTGTTATATTTGGTGTCTATATAACATCTTTAAATCGTTGTCATTGCAAGATGTATATCTTTGCATTTTTCGACAAAATTATCTTCCATCATAATGTTCTCAGTTTTCTTTGCTAGTTTACTAAGTTGTGGCTACACATTCTGCTGTTCCTGAATAAAGACGGGTTCAGACACTTCACTGCCATAATCAATTTTCTCTGCAATTTGTGCTTAAGTTGCGAAATACCAAATTGTTATTTTTGTAGGTCATATTTTCTTTCATTTAAAATACCACTACTACTAAAATGTTAAAGTGTTTTGTGTTTTTCTGTTAAAGTTGTTGGCTTTACTATGCATCTAGGCTATCAAAATGTTTTAACGAAATATGTTTTATGTTCCAGTCCGACATTTCCTCAAACGTTTTTGCTTTCTAAAGATGTATGGTAACAGACTATTTTCTCATTGACTAGTTTTGACAAGCTTGTGTATTGAATAAGATATGTATAGATAATTTAATTTCTTTCGGAATGCGCATCTGTTCTACGAAATTGGTACTGTTTATGTTATTAACCCTCACACATTCTTCATTGGCCTGTCCTAAGTGAGCAAATTATTAATCAGTCGTTGTCTCTAGTTGCTGTCCCTCACATTGTTTTTGTTTACTTTTATCAAAGATGTATATATTATGGTTCTCTGGTCCATTGTGAATAGTTGTCTCATTGACAATAATAACACATCTATATATATACCTATATGTACTGGTTCATGTTATGACCTACTTGTTAACATATGTGCAAAGGTAGGCAACGACATCCAATATTTTATTATAAATAGATAATATCACTAATTTGAAATACTGTTCTCTTGAAATGTAAAAAAGCTGCACTGAGTATAAATATAAATTAATGAATTCATATATTTTTAGGTATAACTCTGACCGTTCAGCTGAAGTTATGTTCTCAAACTTGCTATGGTTGTAAAGGGTGTTGTGCTGGAAGAGGCTGCAGTTCTCCGAATTCTTGGAGTTGTGTGAACAATAAATGTTATTGTGATTGTGGAGGATATTTCTTAAAGATTAATAAGAAGTAAAAGAAAACTGAAACCAGCAAATATTAGTAACGATTAATTTGAACTCATTGTAAGATGTAAACCTTACCAATATATACGGAGTATTATATGAATTAGTGGTATTTTGAGTTGTTTCTTGAATTATGTATACCTTTTTCGTTGAAATTTCGTTTTTTGGAAGTCGTTACTGTTTTTATGATTATCAATTTTTGACAACTATAGCAGATCGCATCATCTTTCCAGTTATTAACAGGATTGTAATTATGTAATGATATGTCCAGGAGGTGATGCATTGGAATACTCAAAATGGTTGCTTTCTTCATTGATATAAGCAATTCATATGACTTAAAAGAGTTGTGGGTTATCTATTAATAAAAAAGTACACTCAAATGCAGTCGTCATGTTAAACAGAAAGCTATACAATATGAACAGAAAGCTATATAATATAAACAGAAAGCTATACAATATAAATAGAAATATATACAATATAAACAGAAAGCTATACAATATGACAAGATCTAATTAGTCTTGAAACAGAAACTTTTATTTATAAATTATCAAGATTATCAGAGATCTGCATTAAATCTATTTTAATGAAAAGAAACGGGTAAAAAAACAGGTAAAAAACTCGTTTAACTATATGAGTTTTTGATATTCGTCCATCTCCAGTTTTTAATCTCGACTTATATTTAAAAAAAAAAATGATGTCATCCTACCATTTTATTTTTAAACTAGAATTAGAATTATACTCTTGAGATTATAAACAGCAGAAACATTAATTTAAATTTAGCAAAATGTCGTTAGTGCTCTTCAAAAATTGTAGAAAAGAAAAGATTGACTAGTATAATTATTGAGATCAAGTTTACATTTCTGACTTCCAAGTTGACATTTCTCAGTTCCAACTTGACATTTCTCAGTTCCAACTTGACATTTCTCACTTCCAACTTGAAATTTCTCAGTCTCAACTTGACACTTTGCACTACTAAGTTGACATTTCTTAGTTCCGTCTTGATATTTCTCTCCTCCAACTTGACATTTCTCTCTTTCAAGTTGACATTTCTCAATTCCAACTTGATCTTTCCCAGTCTCAAGCTTACATACTCATATCCAAGTTAGAACTGAGAAATGTCAATCGGAAGTAAGAGATGGCGTTCTCTTAGAGGTGTAAGGTATTCATATTTCCATGTACACAAACACTGAATAATGAGTCATGTCACAATGTTCTATTTTGCAGGGTATGATTTCAATCATACGTCCATTAAACAGAAACACTACGGAGTGAGGAGCGGCTAATTTAGTCTTAGATGCATGATTTTTTTTTATAAGTTGTTATTGACTTTGAACTAGCTGTAAGTAACTGCGAGTACTCTCAGATCTGTACTTATTGTCTTTTTGTTGTTTGGATGTACAAGTACCCGGCCACGTCCACTCTGTGTTTTTGTTAGATGTATTTCTATGTGTATCCATCTGATGAGTTAAGCCTTTTTCAACTGATTTTTATAGTTCGTTCTTATGTTGTAACGTAACACCACTGTTCCAGGTTAGAGGTTGTCGTTTGTTGATGTGTTACATATTTAGTTTTCGTTCATTTTTTTTAACATAAATTAGGCCGTTAATTTTCTCGTTTTAATTGTTTTACATTTGTCATTTCGGGGCCTTTTATAGCTGACTATGCGGTATGGGCTTTGCACATTGTTGAAGGCCGTACAGTGACCTATAGTTGTTAATTTCTGTGTCATTTGGTCTCTTGTGAAGAGTTGTCTCATTGGCAATCATACCACATCTTCTTTTTTATATGGGAAGTTCAATGGAAATCATAAATAAGCTCAACCAACTTCTCCCAAAAGCCTTTATTCCATGGTGCTCTTTTTGGTATAAACTGCCAAGTATTTCCGTTGTTGAGTTTTTCTATAACGAATGGTGAACGTGTAAGTCTTTCAAAATGCTTAGCGGCTGCAATGTACCTGAAAACGACGTTTGAAACAGAAACAAACAAACAAAACTTCATCTTTCATTAGAATATTCAGAAATAATGTAACCATTTGAATATGTATGATGATCGTTCAATTATTTTTGCCATCTTTTTGAACGGACGGCCACAAGTGCTAATAGGCCTTTTATCATGCAGCGAATACAAAATTAAGAAAAAATAAAAAAAAAATCATTTTCTCAGTATGTAAAATTATAACATTTGTTTTAACACCTGATTCATCGATATCCCTTAGCTTGGGTAAATATGTTCAGTAGATGTTTTTATCTTATCGTAGAGTTCAGTTAAAATGACTCAAGAAGGTTACACAAACCAGCAACCTCGTTCACGCACGGAAAGAAAATACTACCGTTCAACCATAATATGTAGAAGGAAAATAATTCAGAAACAAATGAACTCCCATTAAATTGCAAAGGTCAATGAAAGAATTTCCCGCGCAAATGCCATGTGTTTAAACGGGATAAACCAAAAACAAATTTAAGTCTATGTTGTCGGTTCACATTCGGATCATTCGGAATTTTCACTTTACATAGGGCTTTATATCTGATCTTATTTCTTTGTGCACAATTCTGAATCTTCGTATATCACCTTTATCAATGTTAGGAAAACTTGTTTCGGACGATTCTATATACATTATATTTTAAGGTTTTTATATCGAGTCAAGTCAATGTATATTGTTAAGCGTTGTTTCCGAGAAATAAATAATTTTTCTGATAAAGTAACTAAATTCAAAACCATTATATATATAGTTGACATTTATATTGACTGTTATGAAATAACCGTTTCACAGATGATATCGGATATGTTCCTTATGTCGTAACTACAATACCCTTCCCTTTTCACGAATGTGACCCACCGAATTAGACTATTTACCGGATTTGTAATAGCATAAGCAACACGACGGGTGCCACATCTGGAGCAGGATCTGCTTACCCTTCCGGAGCACCTGAGATCACACCCAGTTTTTGGTTGGGTTCGTGTTGCTTAGTCTTTAGTCTTCTATGTTGCGTCATCTGTACTATCATTTGTCTGTTTGTCTTTTTATTTTAGGCCATGGCGTTGTCAGTTTGTTTTCGATCTGTGAGTTTGACTGTCCCTCTGGTATCTTTCGTCCCTCTTTTATATTTTATTTCACTGTGTAAAAGATTTTTTTTTTATTGATAGTGGCTTTAACTTTCTTGTCTGACATACGTGCAACCACTGGAATTTGAAACGCGACGTATTTAATTTGCCTGTACATCCTATAATTTTCATCGAAATAAATAAAGGGTATAATTATATTATCTATTCACACAAGTATAGCGCTGTACTACATTTTTTTTCAGGTATAAGTTGTAGTTCTGTAGTATCTTGACAGCATTATTAGCTTGTTTTGGACCATTAAGTGGTTAATAGGTCCTAATTTTTTATAATTTGCCCCCATATTTATCTGAAATAGATTTTAAAATAGAAGTCTGTTTACATAGATAAGACATTGTTTTTGGACAAAGATTGTGTTAACCAATTTATGTTTATGAGGCGAACACGAGATCTCCGAGGTGGTGTTTGTTTGTCTCGAATCAGAATTTGTGGTGAAGAAAGTTATGTTGTCTTGCAGACATGGCTGGATATTTCTTTATTTTCTACTCACAAGAAACAATCATGTTTATGTGAATTAATACAGTTTTAACCATTAAAACACCATAAAAAATGATTTCAAAGGTTTCAACGTTGATTTCTTTTAAAAAAAATCCCAATATCAGATAACGATGTCAAAAGAAATTTAATGTTGACGTTTAATTTTAACTATCTATTTTTATCTAAACTATAACGATAATTACTAACATAACGATATATTATTACATGGTGAAATTTATATGTTGGATACTATATACTATAAGGATGCTCCATAATCTTGCTGCAATTTATATTTTTTCATGTCTTACTCGGAACTTGTGCGCCTTACCGGAGACATGGGCGAAGCAGTGTTCAGTGTTAAAAAAAATCAACCATATATTTGTTATATGAATGATTGGACAGTTTTTTTTCCCTGAAGATACTAGCTATAGGCCCCTTACCCTCACCCAACGGGGGTATAAGACTCCTTTTGAAAAATACCTGACTGTATGAAGTGAGGTTTCCCAAATTCTGAATAACAGGTGCATATATGCTCATGTAAGTATTATACATTATTTACTTCAAATATTCTCCTGTGAGTATACATCAACGTAAGTATCAAAAGGACAATGCCTGCTTCAAATATCATCAAATTGGTCTAAATGAATGTATCAAATCCTCGAAACAATGTCCCAAACAGTTTGCACTGTTATCTTCTTTGTTTCACTCTTATCATGCTAATAGTGTAAGAAGAAAAAAAATAACAAACAAATTTCAAAATCAAGAACAGAAATCCACATTGGCTTTTAACTTTATTCTTATTTCAAGGTCAAAGGTGATAGATTTCAAATTAAATGACCCAATGTCTCCCTTTTTTATGGTTAAGAAGTTACGCATTATATTTTGAATATCAATGGAGAGAAAACTCTCATGAAAAGCATCCAGCGGTATTCGATCCCGGTGCATCAACTTTGCGGCAAGATGTTACTTACAATTTGACAAAACAATCTTTTTTTTCGATACATTTTACTGTTTCTGAGGAATTACAGAGTTTTAAAATTTAGAACATGACCCTGACTGTTGACCTTGACCACAATTTCTTGATTGTGTAACAAGGAATTCATATCCAAAATCTATCACTCACATTTTATGAGTAACACCACCATAATAATTATGTCTCTAGTAAATCATTTTATTTTTTTATCTGAAACGGTCATTTGATCTTGAATTAACAAAAAGTTCTGCACACTAAATTACTAGTATTTAGTCATGTCATGTTCCAGTCTTTCAGTTAATTTTCAGACTAACCCATTGCAGTAAATTCAGTACTGTTCAGTTAATTTTCAGCCAATTCAGTATTCTGTTGATGTGTACAGGTAGTTAACAACTACTAGTACTAAACAGTCTGAACAGAGACTGAACATATCTTAATTGTCTGTCAGCGAATTGTCGGAACATGACTAAATTGACCGCACTGCATAATTCTGAAAATTGACCGAAGGACTGATAACACCATAATAAAATCAT